ACCCCACCCCTTTAATGGAACAAAAATTGCAGCCAAGGGCTTTTTAAACCGAGATGAGTCTGCCTATTGTGGAGATATCCTGACTAAAGCTGCTGGCCTCGTGAGTGAAAATCCATGTCACTGTCTTGGTTTACCACAGCCTTAAAGAGGCAATTCCCTGAGAAACACCACAGGTCTTGAAAAGTTGAGATTGAGAGGCAATTTAATCTAATGCTGCAAAGGATAATCTAATCAGTGCTGAAAGATAAGTGTGATGAATGCTAAATACGTGTGATTATGTGGAAATATCATAATTTTTATGCTGCAGTAAAGTAAAAAGTTATTGATGATTAAGTATGTGAAGAGATACCTCTGAACTGAGTGAGACCTGATGGGTATTGAAAATACTTGGAAGCTGAAAAATTGCAAGGCGTTTGAATTTGACAGCAAACTTCCAAGAACGATTAGTATACGGTTAAGTTCATATGCAATTATTGCCAACAGAAGATATTGCCTAACACTCAAACTTTTGATGGTACTTAATAAATTCATAGGGCGTAATTTATCAAGTTACTGGTTAGAACATCTATTCACAAGAATTTTGACAAATCCAAATATTCAATTCTCATGAAAAACCTTTCTAATAATAGCTATTAGAATTTGATTTGCAGTGGAACAAAAGTTGCTGCAGCTAGCTTTGTTTAATATCGTTATTAAAGGAAACCAAAGTTACATTGCTCGGAAGATCAATAAAATTCTTTTTTTCCACTGTTGTCTACAAACCTAAAGGGACCACCCACCACATTGTTGTAAGGGAGCTAAGATAGATCTGAGGAGCAGACAATTTCCAGGAGGAAGATCCTGTCAGACCCACTTCAGGGAAAGAAATATTGGAACCATATGTTTTCAGCTTCTATTTAAAGCCTTAGAAACAGATTAAACCTTCACACTCGAAGAGGCTGGAATTACACCAGCAGCTGCACTTAATTTTTTTTTCAGATAACTATGATAGAATACATTCATAAATAATTGTCACAAATCCACTGTTCTTGTGTTTCTAGCCCAAAACAGAGCTGAAATCAGATCAGGCAGAGGGTTCTGATGAAGGGTCGAGGCCCAAAACATCAGCCTTCCTGCTCCTATGATGCTGCTTGGCCTGCTGCGTTCATCCAGCTCTACACCTTGTTATCTCGGATCATTTAAACTGTCTGCATTCCCATCAACAAGTTTCCTTCACCTGCCAATCGCTATTTGCTGCTTTCAGAAACTAGCACAGACAACTAAATTGCAAGCCTGATTATTCAAAACATGTCAGCTAGCATTTTGACTGAAAACTGACAGAATTAAGGTGAAATCCATACCAGTAATGGACCTTGACTAGCATCAGGCCACAGAAATTTGAAACAAGTACTCAAACATAGAAAGGAAAACCCAAATAAAAACATTGAACAACAAGGGAGCTAATAAAAATGTTTAAACAATTATTGCTCCACTAGTCATAATAGAGCCTACTGGGCACAAAGTGAATTCCCTGCAACTAAATGAGGGACCAGAGGACTAAAGTTGGGCATTGGGACACATTGGAGTGAGGAGCTCCTAAGAGGGGTGAGCAGGTAGCTCACCGAAGAGGAAGTGTTGGATATCAAGCTACTGCATTTCAGACAGGGCCAATGAGGATGTTTAATGTGCATGAGAAGGCAAGGTGACAAGGAGGTGGTGAGGGGGCAGCTTAACTGAGGACAGGGTTGGCTTCAATGGGAAGAGAATGACTGCAATATCGGCTTGATAGGTAGAGCATTGGTGACAATCATAGGTGAGTTTGGAGTTTGGCAATGTAGCCTGTGATGATTATGAAGTGGAAAGAATACTGTGATTTTACTTTAAACCAGGAATTACATTCCTATCACTCCTGACTCTATGTCCAGGGGCATCTCTTTTGAACAAAACTTACATTTTTTATGCAGGCCTGTAATTATTCTGTTCAAAATTATCTGCTCACACTCAGATTTGTCCTTCCTGAATACAGCTCAGCCCCCGGTCCCACAAGGCAAGGTCGTACTGAAGAGAGACCCTGAATTAACAGGGTGTAGACAGTCAAAGGAACTATGACCTGTTTGAAGCATCTACTGCACAATTCTGGTGGGTTGTACACCACCTCATAATGATCCCACACATCTTGCCCACCAGTTTTATATCCAACATCATTCAGTCATCCAGAAAACCTCAACAGCCCCCTATTGTTGCTGCTGATCATCTTAAAACCCAAGGTAAGACTTTTGTGTCTACCGTATCTCGAATTCCATTCTAAATTTGATTTTTTTTGTGTGTGTGAAGGGATTTCCATTGAAAATCCTAAACTAACTTTCATTAGATTGAACAATTCAATTTTAGATATAGTTATTTTTTCCAGTTCAAAGATATCTTGTATCTCCTTAAGAACATTTTAGAAACTGCTTCTTTGAAGAACATAAGGCTCTAGCTGCTCTCATTGACTCTCATAACTCAATTTGATCACAGATTCCTCTCTAGCAATAAAGCTCAACCTTCATTGAGCAATGGTTAATTCTAATTCATAACAGAGTAGACATTGCAGAGTCTGTTGAAACCCATAACAATCTTTATTGTTCAGAAAAGATTTATCAGGATGTTGCCAGAGTTGGAGGGTTTGAGCTACAGGGAGAGGCTGAATAAGCTGGGGCTATTTTCCCTGGAGTGTTGGAGGCTGAGGGGTGACCTTATAGAGATTTATAAAATCATGAGGGGCATGGATAGAATGAATAGTCAAGGTCTTATCCCCAGGGTGGGGGAGTCCAAAACTAGAGTGCATGGGTTTAAGGTGAGAGGAGAAAGATTTAAAAGAGACCTAAGGAAAGACTATTCCATGCAGAGGGTAGTGCGTGTATGAAATGAGCTATCAGAGGAAGTGGTGGAGGCTGGCACAATAACAACACTTAAAAGGCATCTGGATGGGTACATGAACAGGAAGGGTTTAAAGGAATACAGGCAAATGGGCCTTGATTCATTTAGGGTATCTGGTCAGCATGGACGCGTTCGACCAAAGGATCTGTTTCCGTGCTATGCAACTCTACGACTCAATGATGCACATTAATAAATCTGTACTAAACAAAGTGTTAAAAGGTAAAATGCAGTTCAACAGATTGCATTGATCACAACCATAGCTGTGTATGTAAACGTAATTTAACTCTGAAGCAACAAGAAACCTAAAATTTAACATTATTCGCCTGTTGTTAATATTCGTGGAAACTTGTGATTTTCTCACATAGACATTTTCAGCTGCAATTCCAATGGGAAAAAAAGTTGACCTAAGTTGATATAAAAAGCATGGCTGATAAAGTCTCTTTTGAACTGTGATGGAGAGCATGTGATATACATTTGATCTCCACCGCATAGTTGTTACTCTCAGGAGTACTACTGAAAAGGAGGGACATAAATCAAAGGAAAGACACAATCTTAACATGCTGATGGACAGGGGTTCTCATCATAACTTCACTTTTACAAATTTCTAGAGAACTGCCTTAAGATAACATTGATGTTTCTCCCACTGACCTCTCAGTCACTCTCACAGCTCTTAAAAATCAATGCTGAATGAGGAAAGAAAGGTTTCACATCCTAGTCCTGCCAAAACAAAAAGATCTTGAAAGATTTATCTTAATAGGAGAAAAAGACTTCCAACCTTTCCTTTTCAAAAAGCAGTGAGCAACAAACATGTCAACAAGAAAAACTAATTAACATTTCATGTGAAACCCTTTCTTTGTTCACACTTCTGAAAACAACCTTCATTTTTCCTTCAGATGATGACTACTCCTGCTGAACATTTTGATCACTATATTTTCTATTTAACCTGCCATGGCAGTCACTTCGCATTTTTATTTAGCACATAGAACTGTAGAGCACAGGAATGGGCCCTTTGGCCCACAATGTTGTGCCAAACATGATGTCAAATTAAACTAATCCCTTCTGCCTGCCCTTGGTCCATGTCCCTCCATTTCTTGCATATTCATGTGCTTACCTAAAAGTCCCTTAAATGCCCCTATTTTATCTCCCTCTACCAGCACCCCTGGCAGCGCATTCCAGAATCTTACCATTCTGTGTAAAAAACTTGCCCCTCAGATTTCTTTTGAACTTTCTCCCTCTCACCTTAAATGCATGCCCCCTAAGTATTAGATATTTCAATTCTGGGAAAAAGATTCTGATCATCAACCCTATCTGTGCATCTCATAATTTTATAGACTTCTATCAAATATCCCCTCAGCCTCCACCACTCGAGAGAAAACAATCCAAGTTTATCTCGCCTCTCCTTTTGGCTCTTGCACTACTCCAGTTAGCATCCTGGTAAACCTCTTCTGCACCCTCTCCAAAGCCTCCACATCCTTCCTGGAATGTGGTGGCCAGAATTGAACACAGTACTCTAAGTGTGACCTAACCAAAGTCTTGTAAAGCTGCAACATGACATCCTGATTCTTATACTCAATTCATCAACAAATAAAGGGAAGCATACCATACAACTTCTTTACCACCCTATCTACTTGCCTGACCACTTTCAGGGACCTGTGGACTTAAAACCCAAGATCCCTCTGTACATCAATGCTGTTCAGGGTCCTGCCATTAACTGTATGTTTTTCCTTAACATTTGATCTCCCAAAGTGCAACACCTCACATTTACCCAGATTAAACTCCATCTGCCATTTCTCCGCCCATATCTGCGACTGATCTATATCCCGCTGTATCCTTTGACAACCTTGTGCACTATCCACAACTCCGCCAATCTTTGATATGTCTGTGAACTTACGAACCCACCCAGCTACATTTTCATCCAGGTCATTTATACATATATATATCTCACAAACAGCAGATCCCTGCGGAACACCACCAGTCACGGACCTCCGTTCCATCACTGCCCTCTGCCTTCCTGCCTTCATTTGTGATGAGGTTTTTTTTCAGCCGATAACCTCATGAGAAGTCAGGTAATCTGCTTCAATTTGACTTGGGAACCTTCTCACCTTGATACTGTGCGTTAAATCCTCTGCGTCGATGGTTACTGTCTGACGTGAAATGTAGCCGCAGCCAATTCTTGCTACTGATGACAGGTGAAGGCAAATTGAAACCAGTCAGCCTGAAAGGAATGGAAAAGTCTTGTGTCATTAAGCAAGCTGGGAGTATCATTTCAAAAACCAAACATTGCCACGGCATACTGGAAAACTGATGAGCGTTCTTACAGGTACTGAAGAAATCTTTATTTTGCTCTTCATACTGTTAAATAACAGAAACCTATTATGACCTGTAGGAAGTAAAGCTCAATGTTGCCAAGAATATATTTGACAAAGAAGAAAAATGAGATAGATTCCAGTAAGCTCTTATTTGCCTGAGCTCAGTACAAGAGGAAAAGTATCCTTCCTTCCCAAACATGACAAAGGTCACAATCCACCTACACAGTGTGTTTCATAGTCAAGTGAACTCAGATGGAACCCAAGAGTGACACCACCCAAAACCGTTAAGACTCACACATGAAGCTTATGCATTTGGTCAAAGCAACAGAGAGCTTGCTGGGCCTGAAGAATCATTCAGCAGCTCCTGAAGAAATGGCTGAAAAATCTAGAGAAAGGAAATCTGAAAGTCAGACAATGTCTTGAGTGGAACTCTTTGTTTAAACCATATATAGTAATCACTACCTAAAAGAAATTTCTGGCTTGAAGCTGCTTGGTGATGTGAATACTTAATCAGTTTTAAATAAGTTGGTTAAATAACCCTTTTAAAATGAAGGAATTCATGTTTATTGGGCTCGATAGCTCAATTGACTGTGTGGTGATCATGTGGTTCAAACTAATGGTAGCAGCTTAAGGATCAATCCCATTCTGACTGAGATAGATTTAGGGCTTGACCCTTGGTCCTGTTCCAAAGCAAAATCGTGGCATATTCTACATTTGTGCTACTCTTGAATCAATTGGGACACTACCTGAAAAAGATTCATGTTTATGTTATAACAACTGACACAGTAATGACACAGATGTGTGTTGAGACTTCCTCCATTCATGATGTCAACTGAGATTCTGCAGAAATGTTCTGTAAAGTGATGAATGAACTAACAATAAATTGGAACAAAAAAATGCTGTCAACATCCTTGTGACCAACAATCATTATAACCTGTGCATGGGTGCTCTGCAAACAGCATCAGCACGCCGTTAACTTCATTGATTCTCGAGGTCACTGCTCTGCACTGACCTTGGAAGCCCACACAACTGGGCAGAAAATTACAGGAACACCTAAAGTACTTCACAGCCAACAGAGTACTGCTGAAGTCCTTGCTTTACATTCACGTCAATGTCCCACTGAAAATCGATGGATACAAATGAACAATTGATCTATCTGTAGTCATGTTAGTCAAGGGATCGATACTGGCCAGGACACAAGAAAAAGGAAACGTAACATGAGATCTGAAAACATAGGTGGCTCAAAAAATTTTGAAGGAAGGATTCTTTGTTCCTCTGGCACTGGGTCAATGCAAACACGAAGGAAACTTAAGGATAAACAAGAACCATACACAGCATTTACATCGAGAAAATTGTTTGAGTTACATTGGGCTAAGAAATTCATTGGCTTGGCTCGGCTCTCCCCACTTCCCATCAGCTGTCTCTCCACCAAGGACATCTTCAATTCCAGCAAGAGTCTATTTGACTGCTGCACCTTCCCTAACTCACCATCGCCACTTGCTGATGGAGGTCCTGCACAATTCTCTTGCTCAATAGTCTTCATCATCCTCACCACCTGATGAAGGAGGTCTGGTTAAAAAAAGGTTTATTGAGTGGCTTTTATAATATGGCAGCTTTCCAGCTGGATGCAGGGTCATACAAATACATCCTAATTGCCTGGGCTCATACCTCAGGAATACTGAGCAGTTAACAAAACTGAAGAGTCACCGCCCCAGTGGAAACATGGCATTGTTGTGGTATGAGGGAGAGGAAATAGGAAAAGGGAGGGGATAAAGCTTCAAATTAAATATCATGGGGTTTTTCTTAGAGGCAGAAAGTAGAGCTGATTTTGCTCACTATTCAAGACCTTGAGGAGATTTGTGAGCTTTCAGCCTACTTGGGGACTGAGCTGTGTGTGGAAAACCAGAATGGTTGACCTCTCCCTCCAAAGCTTCACAGTGTATGTAAGATGTCCCTTACAGGTTCGCCATCTGGAATCCATCCTGATGGGCAGACTGACTTTCAGTTGCATGAGAAATCTTACAGAAGAGGCTGTGGGACCGCAGTGATATCAGCCATGACCTGAGACATGGAAGACCAGGGATGGCAGAAGCTGGACGACTTGAGGCACAGTTCAGAGGCCTTAATGGAGAGGATGTAGGCCTTACTTCAGCGAGAGAGAGTTCAGAAGCTTCAGAAGTCTCAATTTTTAATGCATCTTAATCACAACCAGATTTCAGATCTTCACGATTGTTTTATTTGAGCATTTACGATTGTAAATTGCTAAGTAAACATTCACTATGTATGATTCTACATTTGCTGTCAGAATGTCATGACAACCAAAGACCACTATGTGGCTCTGAAATCTCTCTGCAACTCTGACTGAATTAACTGCATTAACCAAACTGACAATGAGCAATTTTATTCAATATAAAGAATATTTGTCGGTGGAGATCAATCACTAAATCAAATATGAGGACGTCAAGGATGCACAGAATGTCTGTCATACTACTGTTCCAGAGTTTGGATTTTTGTTTGGATTTGTTATGATAACATGCTAACATGTTCTTTTTATCATGTGGCTTGTTTATTTGCATTCCCAGAGAGCCCTCGAGGTCTGCTTATATCAATTTCCTTTGTTTGCTATTTTGATGAAAGCTTGAATCTCCATTGCAAGCAGGTTGCTATAGACATATTAACATGTCAATGAAAATAAGGGACAAAGGAATTTGACATATTCAGGTTAAGTGCTCGTAAAATGACACCAGATAATGCAATTTCCAGTTTAATTTTTCATGGTAACCGAATTTTCCCTGCAGTGTTAGATTAATTAATGATAACAGAAAGACAAATTCTTAACTGATGTTTACGACAACTGCCTTAACCTGTCACTCTTCATGCTGAAATTACTAATACGATGCTTGTAAACAAAATATTTTTCTGAAAGATAAAAATTACTTGGAATCGAATAGTCCAGCCATTATTAGGTCATAGGTCACAGCTACAATTACAAGGCCCAACCAACCTTTTCTCCTGGTTTTCAGAGGGATCAAGTACAATAGATTTCTTCGCTTTTCATCAGTACAATGAAACTCCACTGAGGTATTACAAGTAATTAGGAATTAACTGAGCTGTCTCAAAAGGTTCACCCATAAAACCCAATGGTCCTTCAGCCGCAAACACCAACGAAAGCCTAGCTTTTCTAAGGTGGATCTCTCTTCAACTCAGTGATAATTATGTTAATTTGAGAAAATTTATGGCTGAAGTTAACCTTTAGCTTTAAAAGTACGTTGTTGATGAAAGCAGTTAGCTCCACATGAATTTTCCTCTTATGCACACAGTTGTTAACTAAATACTCTATAGGGATCTCTTAATTTCACAGTTAAATAGCAGAGAGAAAATGAAAGAGAACCTAGGTCTAGTAATATATTTACCCGCAATTAAAAGACTAAGTATCTTGGCCTTTTCATCAGCGACTTCTTTATATTACACTGGTGGAATAGCATTCGATTGCAGTTCAATGAAAGATTGCAGGATTCATTTACAAAAGTAATTAATTGTTAGCCACTAGCAGATTTATTCACTGTCTGATAAGTTATACACCTCTGACCAAAAGAGCACATTGAAGCATACAATATGTTGAGGGGTGCCAGTGAATTTTACAAAACATTGACTGCTCTTAGAACTGCTAGGACATCTTTCCCAAAGACAGAGAAATTGTTCAAGAAACAACAACTTTGCATGATTTTCCAAGTTCAGGCATCTCAATACAGCCTTCAAGCTCCCTCGCTGCAACTTCACTCATTGGGAATCCAACGGCTGGGGGTGGAATTTCCCGAACAGCAGTAGAACATAATAAGTTGTCCAACTATTTTTAAAAAGAGCTTTGTGCTTCAGTCTGGCTCAAAGTCCTTTCCATAAGTCTTCTTTATCTGTAGCCTCCAAATTCATGACCTCTACTGCTTCAAAGAACAAATTGGCTGCGTGGAAAGACCATTATCTGCAAGTTCTCCCACCCAGTTTAAAATCATGAACAATCCATGAGCAGATGGCCTTGAATAAAGGCATGTAATCAGCTTGTAGCACATGTAGAACTCAAGGAGCATAGCTTTTGCCATGGCTCATGCCTGCATTAATCATCTCAGCTACTTTGATTGACTTCAAACCATTTCTAAGATGCTCTTTATTCAATCACTTCAGGTCTTTGGCAAGAGGCCTGAATGCTATGGATTTGATTATGTTGATCAATTATGATTACCTCGTTACTCCTAATGATTGAACTATCCAATTAAGCTGTATGTGCAAAAAAAAAGTAAATGTATCAATGGTATCTCTCGAAAACCTCTAGAATCTGACCTCAAGGTGTGGGTTAAAAATTTTGAAAAGTATATTCAGCCATTTTTTGTCGGTTTAGAAGTTATTTCTGAAAAAGTTCTGAGGATGGGTCACTCGACCCAAAACATTAACTCTGATTTCTCTCCACAGATGCTGCCAGACCCGCTGAGCTTTTCCAGCAACTTCTGTTTTCTGTTCCTGATTTATAGCATCTGCTGTTCTTTCAGTCTTGAACAGTTAATTCTGTTCTGCAACCTGGGCAGCAGAGTCTCATTCAGATTTAAATTCTGTGCTCTGGACGCTGATCCAAATTCAGTGTCAGGATGACAGTTAGTGAAGTGTCAATGCAAATATTAGACAGGGTGCAAAAACCTGTCAGTGAAACATAAATTAATAAAGTATGGTGTATTTATCTTTGTTTTGTCCTTTGCAACTATCTGAAAATTTCACAATAAATGCCACATTGCCTAATGTGCTGATGGTTATTTTTTAAACTGAAGTATAGGGATAAAAAGTATTTCCAATAAACAACTTGACATTTACAAGAATGCTGTTACCCTGGACAATTTCACATGGCCGCTTACTGTATGCA